CCCCGCCCCATACACACACAGAACCTTCTCTCGGTCCTCACGCACATCCTACCTCCCTCCACCATCGCACCTGCTGGTTCTGCTGTCTGGAAGGCCCTTTCTCGCCTGTCACTAACGGGCTCCTGTTCACCCTTCAGTACCCCTAAGGGCGCCCTGGACTCCGCTGGGTAGAGTTTACTGTTGTACATTCTCTGCAGTAATACCGGCTTCATAGCTGAGATGTGAGGATTAAAAGAGTTAAGACTAGAAAATGCTTAGTCCTACGCCCGGAGCAGACCAAACGTGCCCTTAATGGCGCTGTGATTTTGTGCAGATGCCTACTGAATGTTGCCGTGATTATAAATACGTGGCTGTTTCCTCCATGATATGACACCTCCTGGAAGAGTATATTTTACTCTCTTACCAACTCGCTCTTACTCAGTCCCTTCCCCTTCCCTCCCATGGTGCCTGAGGAGTGTTAGGCTTTCTGCAAAGATCTGATAGCAGTGCCTGAGTTTCCTCCATAGTCATTGGTCTTGTTCTTCTCAAAGTCTAGAGCAGGAAAGCCAGTCTGTTTAATCGACATTCCAATTAGTTGGATAATAATAGTAATTGTGATACGGGCTTTGCAATTTAAGAGCGCCGTCTAGCCACTCTTCTCTCATATTATCTGTGTAATTCTTAAATGTTGTTCCTTTTCTTTACCAATTAACTTTCTCAAAAAAATCAATAGTGCGAAATGGTATGAGCGCCGATGAAAACCACCCTACGGCGCCAGTTAGACAACACGTCTGTAAGTGATTTCGAGGGAGGTGCGGGATGCTCTAAACCCACTGGGTTCATCTTCTGGAAAGGCTAAGCAACAGCTCATTAGAAATGGCCTCTCTAGGAGCATGTTCGGAATTTCTCTGATGGGGCGCCGTCCCCAGAACTGACCGCCCCAGGAGAACGGCTTCCCAGATTGATGACCGCATCCAAACGGTAGGACTTGGCTTCACTGCCGAGTGTTTCTGTTCTTCGTTTTAGGTTTTAAGGCTGGAAGAATGTATCCATCAGAGCAAGGTGTGTCCCCGCCCAGATGAGGGACAGGGCCTGCACTGCCAGCACGGCAGCATCGAAGAGACCCAGGTAACCTCCAGCTCTTCCCGCCTTAATTAAGAACATTTCTCTTCCTTTTTCCGCGCTTCGGCATCCCCAGTGACACATGCTGCCATTGATGGGCTTTTTGCATTTTCCCCTCAGAGCTGCCAAAATGCCTGAAAACAAAACAAAACAAAATAAAACAAAACAAAAACACCACCAAATCTATTTGCTAAAACCACAAAGAAAATAGAGTTCTGAGCAATGATCCGCGTGGTTTGAGAAAGACCAAGACTTGTCAGAAGAATCCTCTCTCCCTTCCTGAGAGCAGCCTGCTTGGCAGACAAGGGCACTCGACCAGAGCCAGGCCTTCAGCGTGTTCTAACAGTGATAAGAACGCCCACCCTGAAAACCAAAACAAACAAAACAAAACAAAAAACACTACCAAATCTATTTGCTAAAACCACAAAGAAAATAGAGTTCTGAGCAATGATCCGCGTGGTTTGAGAAAGACCAAGACTTGTCAGAAGAATCCTCTCTCCCTTCCTGAGAGCAGCCTGCTTGGCAGACAAGGGCACTCGACCAGAGCCAGGCCTTCAGCGTGTTCTAACAGTGATAAGAACGCCCACTGGCTGCCTCCCTCCTTGTCTGTGACATCGGTCGCTCCCACACGAGCCCTCCCACATGACGCTGCCTTTTTAGAGACTGCTTGAGGACAGAAGCTAGCTCCTGTCTGTCTCTCTGCCCTGCTCCTGGTAGGCGGTATAATCTTCCTAGGCTTGTCACAATGAATTACCACATGCTTGGTGGCTTAAACCACAGAAACGTTACTGTCTCACAGTTTTCGAGGCCAGAAGTCCAACATCAGGGTGTCCGCAGGGAGCTCCGAAGGACATTCTGTGTCATGCTTCTTCCCTGGCTTGTCCCTCTTGAGCTTGGTCTCTAGAGAGAACTACAGACCCCTCCTCCATACAATTGCGGGAGGAAGCTCAATGACTACCAATTTTGTTTGATTCGGCTCAATATGTGCATTATTCATTCATTCCACAGTCATTTGTGGAATCCTAGAATATGCCAGCCTCTGAGCTAGATGTTAGAGGAAGAAATATGCATAAGCAAATGACTTTAAAATGATGTGGACACTTAGTAATAGAATTAAACATCTGGCACTGTTTTCTATTAGGTAACTGTTATGAGCTTTGCACGTATAGTTTGTTCTTTTGAATTAAGTTTTGTTTTTTTTTTAAATAGGTAATTCACTTACGTGGCACAGAATTCCAAAGATATAAAAGGTATAAAGTGAAAAGCATAACCCTTCCCTCTAGTTTCCTGCGTTATCATTTTGTTTTGTTTTTATTTCTTCTTGCATATCCTTTCAGAGCCACCCCATGCATATGCAGGGATTTTCCCACAAATGATCACATACTCTCCTGCACGCCGTTTGTTCTAAGTTAAATTTTTATAGCTTGGAGATTATAACACATCAGTACACTTCCACATCGACTCTATTTTATTTTTTTAAAGAACAACTGTCTAGTGTTCCCTTGAACAGAAAAAGGTAACATATTTAACCTTCCCTTATGATGGATATTTAGGTTGTTCCTAACTTTCGCTATTATAGATAATACTTAAATGATAATAGATAATACAGAGCTGTGGAGGGATATAGTGTAGTATAATAGTTAAGCTCACTTCTGATGCCGGGCTGGAAAATCTTGGACGAATGATTTGAAGTCTCCTTGCTAGAGCTTCCTTATCTGTAAAATGTAGCTGATATCACCTACCTTTGAGGGTTTTGTGAGGCCTAAATGAGTTAACATACGCACAGTGTCGGAAACAGCACGTAGCAGGTGTAAAAGCTCCATAGGTGGTAATACTTTCAGTTGTAGAATTTGCTGGGTCCAATGATATGTGCATTTTTAACTTTGATGCACATACCACGGTGCCTTCTGTTGCAGCCATTTCAACATATACTCCCACCGGCAGCCCATGTGAGTGCCTGCTGCCTCGCAACCTTGCCGACACAGAGAGTAACAAAACTCTCTGAACATGGCCAATCAGAGAACGTCTGTAATTGAGTTCAGATATTTTTGGCAAGCCAACTACATGCCAGCCCAGCGAGTCGTAGCTTTGCTTAGGCCCTGAAGATACAAAGTCCTAGAGAAGTTCCCCAGGCCACCTAGATGATGTGTGAGCCCACTGCAGCAACGCAGGATGCTGCAAGGGGCAGGTCAGCCTTCAAGGAGGAGGCTTAGCGGGGCTCAAAGGACCCACGGCTGGTCTGGGGGTGGAGAGCGGGATGCCCCACCAGGATGCGAAAGGACGGCTTCCCCAGGGATGTTCTTGCTGGGGGCTCTGACAGTTAGCTTTGTTCAGGGCTCCAGAGTCTTGGTTTTGGCCCTTAGCTGTTCTGCCAAAGCAATTCAGTGAGTCGAAGAGATATAAACAATAAATAGTAACGCCAGCTGAGAGGGGACTTTTCACTCCAGTCTCAGAGCATGCCACACCTGGGCGTGGCTCTGTCCCCGTCGAAGTCAGCTGGGCCTTTACTGAACCTTTCGTCCTGGTCTCTCATGTCTGGTCTCCTTGATTCTCTTAGCATCGCTGTTTTATTCATTGTTTTCCAGAAAGCCATTCCAGTCTTGGTAATTCTCAAGAGACATTTTTTTTTGCTGGAAGACCCCTAATGTCTGGGTCACAGTGAACTGGGGACAGATTCGGGTTGACATTTTTCATGGATTCCCCTACTTGCACCCACTCCAGGAGAACAACGATAGTCATTTGTAATAATTATTATGCAAGGCATTTCGCCCCGACAGGTATCTGAGTGCTGTGACTACGCAAGGCTCAGGGGCCCGATGCACGGTGAACGCAGGATGAGGCCCGGTCCTGGTCCTTGGTGAGCTCTATCTCAAATAGGAGAAATTGATATTTACTTACGTGACAGTCTGGTGTGATTAATGCTGTATAACAAGGGCTGGAAGACCTTGTGCAGCCAGTATGGGAGAGGGAGTTTTCTGCCCAGGGAATCCAGGAATTTCACAGAGACTCAGTGACCTCTGTTGCCACCTGTCTGAATACTGAAGTTGCACATGACTTCCCCAGAAAGGGCCATGGCCAGGGGAAGGAGCACAGTAAAAGGTCCCAAGGTCAATCCCTGGGGCTGGTGGGAAAGGAGACAAGAGGCCTTCTGAGGCCCCCCTAGGCCCGAGAAGTATCCCCTGCTCACGAGAGGCCCTGTGCTGTTTCCTGGGCAGCAGTCATCCTGTACCAAACCTGGAGGGTCATGTGACTCAGAGAGCGTCAGCTGTCCTGGGGGTCAGCAGACAAACAATCACGAAGCCCATAAGCAACTGCGATGTGCTGAGTGTCCTCAGGCCATTAGGGGCCGCTCCCCTCTGTCTGATGTCATTTGAAGGGTCTGGCACCATCCAACATGGAATAAGGTGGGCTTCCCGGGAGACCCCATCCATGGAGATGCCCGGCTGAGAGGGGCCGAGATCTGCTGGAGCAGGAGAAGGCGACAGCTCTCGTCTCAGGGTTAGGGCACAGATTCCACCCCAGCTTTACCTGGCACCTGTGTGGGGACCTCAAGCAAGTCCGAAAACTTCTCCTAAAACAGTTCCCTCATCACTCCTAATGGCAGACACAGATAAGGCCCTGACTACGTGCCAGGCACATAGTGCTCTACACAGTCCCACATAACCGATGAGGCGTTATTGTTAGCCTTGTTTTATGATAGAGAAATTGTGGCCCGAAGAGCAGCACTGGGGCCCATGCTCTAAACCACGTTACTATCCTGCTTCTCGCTAGTAAAACGGCGGTGATAATCCCGCCCTCCACACCCTGGAGACTTGTGGTAATGCACGGAAGAAAGAATACGAAGGCATTTTTCAAAACTGTTAAACATTCTATATATGTATAAGGTGACTTTATAGTGTCTGTGACGGTTTCCTGTAATCATTTCGGTGAAACCTCATTGCATTAGGCGTTCTATTTTAAGAGGCACATGATACACCTTTGAAAGACTGACAACTGAACTTGAGAGTGGCTTTGAATATTTCCTTCCAGAAATATTGAAAAATTTCCTGGGCGTGGGTGATCCTTTAAAATAGAAACCATCCAGAAGAGGTTAACTGCCTGGAAGATGAAAGATGAAGACCTAATGTGAACACAGGTTTAAAATAGACAACCAGTCTACAGCCATGCCACCCTGAACATGCCCGATCCCGTCTGATCTCGGGAGCTAAGCAGGGTCAGGCCTGGTTAGTACTTGGATGGGAGACCACCTAGGAAGACTAGGTGCCGTAGGCGTAAAAAATAAAAAAATAAGGGATTGTACGCTGACAAGGTCCTTGCAGTCTGTGAGGTCAACCAAAGATTGCCTCGCCTGAAAAAATAAAAAATTAAAAAAAATAAAATTAAATAAAATAACCAGCCATTTGCTTGGGAGGGGTAGGGAAGAGGCTTTTGCAGTGGGTGGCTGGAGGAGAAGCAGAACAATTTATCTTTCTGTGCACAGTTTACACCTGGGTCGCTTTAACGCTGGAGATGGAACGCTGGGCTGAACCTGAGAAAATGCCTGATGGGGAACCCAGGAATATGAATTAGGGGCAGATAACTGAGGAAACACCCTAGTGGCTCAGGGTTGGTCCCAAGAGGGGCTTACTGGAATCTCAAGCAGATAACTAGAAAAGGAGCCACTGGAGAGCCTATTCCATTTCAAATTCAGAGAAGAGTGCACAGTTGAAATAAGTTTTGGTGGACTTGCAAGTGCTCTTTCAGCCAACCCTCACTCTCCATGGTCAAGTGCATTTGTAAAATATTTATTTAAATGGCACCCTAGCTCCTTTGAAATGATGTACTTTGATCCAAAACACCAGGTATATAAGGTGTAGGAGAGAGGAGGGGAACATTTTTGTTATTTCCATGAACCTGCTGATCCCCTCCACTCCAGCTGAATCATAAATTAGTTGAAATCAAGAATTCTGTCTTATTCATCATTATCCTCCATCACCTAACATACCTGCATGTGGCAGATGTTTAGCACTTCTTTTTACATAAACTGATACATGACATGACAACTGAATGAATGGCCTACGGGTGCCATTTTGAATTCTGGTAGTTAAAGGGTTAGAGCAGGAACTCCTTCAAAAATTTGCAGTGGCTGGAGGATGATTTAGAACACTGGGGCCCTTCAGTTGCTTGTAGGAGGGAGGATTTATTTCCTTTTTTGGAAAGGAGGCCCCTGTCTCTGGTGTCCTGGGGGCTGGAAACAAGTGAATAGAAACAGACAGGATTACTAAATTCACTTCTCAGTTGACATGAGAAACAGCTTTCATCTCAGGTTGATTTTGAGCATCCATCCTGCAGCTACTTCTCAGCAGCACACTTGTACAAGGCAGTTTGAAATCGCACCTCGTTAGGTGCTGACTCTGGCAGCTGGCGATAGTGCCAACATGGCACAGCCAGTGTCAGTGCCATCACATGGAATGACATGCCTGGGAGTCAGATGATCCACGGGTCCACCCACCAGGTCATTCAGTGGCCTTGCGACCTGAGACAAGTCTTCGAATTTTTCCAATCTTAGATCCCCATCTGTAACATAAGGGTGGCGGTGTCTTTCCTGCCGACCTCACAAGAGTCAAGGTCATCCATGAGTGACTGTATGGAAACAGACAAATGCAGTGTAGCTGGAACTGGAGTAGTCAACCAGGTGCATCATTATTAGCCTGTCTAGCATCTTCTATCCTCCCTTTTTTCTGGACTCCTGCCAAGGACGCCTTTAAATACGGTCGATAAGGTGGCCCAGCAATTATATCCCACACATTCCTTTTCGGGGTCTTCACGGTGGCTCAGAGTCCATTTGAAAGTCGTTTTCATCTCTATAATAACTTTCATGAGGTCTTTGTCCATTATTCATGTTGCTTTAAGTTCCTTCTCTCATTTTCCTTGATGTGCCTTTTCAAAAAGCTAGCTTTCAGATAGGTTGGTTAGATCTTTTTTTCCTATGTCCTCAATTTTATCTTTCATATCTTTTTTCTTCTACTTTGGATTTATTCTGTTATTTTTCTAACTTCTTAAATTTTTTCTAATAAATACATTTAAGCCTATAAATTTCCAACTAATTGTGGATCTTTAGCTGTATTCCAGAGTTTTGGAGTTTATCTTGTTTTTTCTTTTTAACCTACTTTCTCGTCGCTTTCTAATTTTATTGCATTGTCATCAGATAACAGGATCTGCAGAATGTCGCACTCCGCACCGTGTTGAGATTTGCTTCGTAGCTGGCTGTGGGGTCATTTTTGTAAAAATGTTTCCTATGTGATAGAAAAAAAGCATATATTCTCAGTTTGGTCATTAAAGTACACATAATTGAATCTTAGTTCTGTGATATAGTCACCTTACGACCTGGGGCAAGGTACGTATCCTCTCCTGCCTGTTTCACTACCTTTCAGATGGGTGATGGTGCCCATCTCCTAGGGTTCAGGGCCTGGAACACACGAAACACCATATACATGTTAATGATGTTTAGTAGTCTTTTTTAGTTATTTAGCTTTAGCTTATTAATCTTGTACAAATCTTCCACAACCTAGCTAATTTTGCCTACTTGATGTATCAGTTTCTGAAAGGCGCATTTTAGTTATAAATTTGCCCATTTCGTCTTACAATTCTGAACATTTTGCCTCATGTTTTCAAGCTCTATTAGTAGATGCTTACAGGCTCATTATTACTGTTTCAGTGAACAATTTCTTTTACAAAGATAAGTTTCTATGTTAAACTTAGTTCATGTTTATCATGATTATTAGTACCATTTTGTTTTTGCCAACATATTTTATGCTTTCTATTTATCGAAGTTTCTTTATAAACTTCAATTTCCTTTTGAAACCTGGCCCTAATTAACTTTAATCATCATTTATGTATTTATATTGTAGGATTTGCTATTCTGACTTTTGGTTGTTGATGTTCCACATTTATTGTGCAATTTTCCCTGGATTATAAAAAAACATGTATTTATAACTATCTCACAAAGCTGTTTTGCTTAGTCTATAATATCTGCTTCTGGGTTTTATAGGAATCGGAGATCTCCTAGGTACTTTTAATACCCCAAATTCCTGAAAGCAGGAGGCGAAGATGGGTCTGTTAGCCTCAGGTCCACATGGAGGTTGTAAGCTGGCCAGTGACATCACTTTTGAGAACGAGCCGAACTCACTGGGCCCTACAACTCATGGCATAGCAACCAGCTGGAATACAGAAACCTGTTCCTGGCCTGTCTTATTACACTGTGTTCCGTGGACAGTAGTTACCTTGACAAGTAGAAAAAGCAAAATAAGAAAGACTTTCTCATTTCTATATCTCTGTGCAAAAGAGAGGATGACATGAACAAATTCAATTCATAGAAAATTCTGAAGCCTCAATGTTAGCTCGTGGTTTCCATATTCTGCTCCCACCGTACCCCGTTTCTGTTCTCTGTTTTCTGATCCTGTGTAACGCTATGTAGCAGACTTCCACCCGTAAAATGGGTGTCATAATACCAACTGCTCACACTTGCTGACCAGTGGCTGTTGCTGGCCCTGTCCTCTGATCCCCGTAAGGCCCATGAAGTAGGCCCAACAAGGACCACTGTCCATGGATTACATGCAGAGTGCATCATGAGGTGGTTAAGCATCAGGCCCCAGAGTCAAATGGCCTGATCACATGTCCCATTTCCACTACTCACTGATGGTGGGAACCTGGACAAGCTACTCTCTCCGTGCTTTAAGTTTTGTCAGCCTGCGAAATGCTTGTTCGACTGAAAAACACGATACAAGTTGCTGACACTGCTCCTAAGCCAAGTACTATGCTAGGCACTGAATCATCACAGGCCTCAGCATCCTGGGCCTGTCAGCTGTGCACCAATAGTGGGTTGCTGGGGGCTCTTTCTCCTCTGCTCTCTGATTCGATAAGATATAGCTTGGATCAGAGCATTGGAATTAGTCTCATCTTGCAACTGTTTTTGCCCTAGGATCCATGCTTGAAGCTCAATGAACCTTCTCAGACCCTGCCCAGAGAAGAGTGTCAAGATAAGTTAGCAGCTGAAGAAGGGACCAGCAGCGGTGAAGAAGAAAGGTACAGTAGGATGTGCGGACTTCTGAGGGCTCCAATGAATGAGGACTCAGATTTGGAACCATTTATGTATTCATTCATTCATTCATTCATTCATTCGTCATTTTATCTTCAAGTATTTATCACTGCCCCTTGCAGCATGCTTAGGAAGGGAACATACATGTCTTATATGTCTTCAATACAGCTATGGGCTTTATACAAACTGTCTTATGTGATTGTCGCAGCAACCCAGAGAGGCCATTTTATAAATTAAGAACCCAAAACTCAAAAAGGTTAGTAAACCTGACCAAAACTCAGACGTAGGCTGGCCTAAAATGTCTGCTCCCTATTTTTTCAAGTGTTCTTTAACTAGGAGAGATGAGGGACCTTTGTCATCAAGGAGAAATCCCCCATCTATATCACCTAAATTATTAGTCAGCTTTTGCTGCTATAATAAGTATTCCGAAAATATCAGTAATTTTTAGCTCACCTCTTCTGGGCTTATATGAGCTTGTCTCCTGGCTGAAAATAAGGTGTTATTTCTCTGCCCAAAACCATGGGTAGAGTTCAAGTCTATTCCACATGCGTTCTCATTCTAGGACTGAGGCTAAAGGATTAGCCTCTGTCTAGGGCATGTTGTTGTCCTAGTAAAGGGAAGAAGCTCAAAGGCCTGATGGGAGCAGGCAATGCCTCTTGAAGCCTATACTCAGAACTGCACCCTCTCATTTCTACCCACATCCCACTGGCGAAAGCAAGTCACATGACCAAAACTAATATTACTGGGCAGAGAAGAATATGCTCTTCACTTGTCTTAGCTCGGGCTACTATATCAGAACACCAGAGACTGGGTGGCCTGCACTAACAAATGGCTTGTGTGGGGTCCTGAAAGGTGATATGTAACCATGCTTCTTTAATCTGGCAGCTCTCTAGGTAGTTCAGTGGCATAGTCTACGCAAGCTGCCTTACAAAATACCATTGACCGGGTGGTTTATCAACAACAGAAATGTATTTTTCACAGTTCCAGAAGCTGAAAAGTTCAAGGCCAAGTCACTAGCAGATTCTGTGTCCAGCGAGGACCTCTTTTCTGGTTCATAAAGGCATCTTTTCACTGTGTTTTCACATGGTGGGAGGGTCACATTTGCTGCCTAGGGTCTCTTTCATAAGGGTACCAATCCCATTGGTGAGCCCTCCACTCTCCTGACCTAGTCACTTCTTAAAGGCCCCATCTCTTAATACTATCACATCAGGCAATAGGTTTCAACATATGAGTTTTGAGGGAACACAAACATTCAGATCATAGCACTGGGGAAGCAGGGCCTCTACCCCTACCATATCAATGGCAGCATCAGGCACCCTGAGTCGAATGAGCTCTCCAGCCAATAATACTCCCATGGCATCCTCTGGATTCTGTCTCAGGATCTGTGAAGCATATAAGAACATCAGTTAAAGAGGACAGACTTTGGAGGCAGGTCTCCAGGTGAAATCCTAGTACTACCACTTCCCAGTGGCGGCCACAAACATCCTGTTTGGAACTCACAATTCCAGAAGGAAAGGAACAATCTTTTTCCTGAAAACATTGGCAGAAATTTCAAGAGGTCTTTAATAGTCCCAACTTAGGTCACATGTCCATCCCCGAGCCAACCATTCTGCTTAAGGAGATAGAGAGCTCTGAGTGGCCTGACATGTGTCACATGCCTTTCCCTGGGGTGGGGCCAGCTGTACCCGAACCCTGTGGACTAAATAAGATCACCATGGAAAGAAGAAAGGCTTTCTTAAGGAGAAGATGCTGTCTTCCTCTCCCATGGTGGCTATACTGATAATGGGGTGTCCTCAATTATAGAAGCAAATAAGGAGGTGGGGGCTCTGGAGGTTGCTCACTGAGGGGTTCTGGTGGGAGCAGAAGAGCTAAGTAGTGACAGGGAAGGAACAGAGCGAGATCTAAAGTCAGGGCCTCGGGACAGAACAAATGCAGTGGTTCCTTTGGGGGTGGAGTTCATATTCAGCAGTTATCCCTACGAGGGATACTTATGAGGGAACTGGGTTTTTAGTATGCGGCTCCACAAAAGAGGTGACTTTTCCATTGGCTGTTGATTTAAGGTAGGGGCAAGCAGGTCAGGATCGGTTTTAATGGACAGGGATGAGGGTGGTCAGGAGAGCTGGCTATACCTTGCTCTGTGATAGATAATGACACGGGATTGGCTCCTCAGGATGTGAGGGAATTTGCAGGGGAATGGGAGGCGGGGGGTCAGTGTAAATATCGTTCAAAAACAAGAGCGAAATAAAAACATTTTCAGGTACATAAAAGCTAAGATAATGTTTCACCAGCCAACCTGCAGTATGATAAATGCTAATGGAATTGATCCAACCCGAAAGGAAATTACAGCAGATTTAAACTTAGATCTATAGGAGAAAATAAAGAGCATCAGAAATGGTAAATGTATAGGTAAATATAAAAGACCACTGTGTCTCCTCTTAACTTTTTAAAAGAGACCAAACTTCTTAAGAATAATAATGGTAATAGTAACATTGCATTATTGGGTTCATAATGCATGTACTTAAGCAATACATGACCACACTAGCACAGGGACGTGAATGGGATTCATGGAATTATACTTCGTGAGGAATTTACATGAAGAGGTACAATATTAACGCTAAGTAGGTCATAGTAAATTAAGGATACAAATTGTAATCCATAGGGCAACATTGAACTTTAATACAAAGAAAAGCTAAAAAAAAAAATCCAACAAAAGAACTAAAATGGAATACTAAAAAATATTTGTCAAGTAGGAAGATAGAAAAGGAAGAACAGAAAAAGAACAATAAGAGAAAGGATTGGGCAAATAGAAAACAAATAACAAAATAAAAATTTAAGCCCAACCTTTTCAATAATTATAATGTAAATGAACCACACCATTGAAAAGAAAAAGAGAGAGAGGATAAAAAAAGCAAGAGATTACTTCATGCTGCTTACAAGAGAGACATTTAAACATAAAACTGTTAGCTGAATTGTGATCCCCAAAATTCATATATTGAGGCCCTAACCCCTACTACCACAGATTTTGACTATATTTAGAGATGGGGCCTTTCAAGATGTGAATGAGGTAAAATAGGGTCACTGGAGTAACCTAATCCCATACGACTGGTGTCTTTGTCTGAAGAGGAGATCAACACACAGGTAACACAGCCGAACACCTATGCGAGGACGCGGCATGAGGGTGGCTGTCGGCAAGCGTCAGAAGAAGAGAGGCCGCAGAGGAAACCCAACCTGCCGACACCTTGATCTTGGACGTCTAGCCTTCGGAATTATGAGAAAATGAATTTCCGCTTTTTAAGCCATCCAGTCTGTGGTATTTTGTTGTAGCAGTCCTAATATAGGCACAGATAGGTTTGAAGGTAAAAAGATGGAAAAAGACATAACATGCAAACATTAAATATAAGGAAACTAATGTGGCTGTATTAATATCAAAGTAGAATTCAGAACAAAGAATATTACCAGGAACCAAAAAGGGATATTTCCTAATGATAAAGGGCTCGGTTCATCTGGAAGACGTAACAATCCTAAATGGGTGTCACGCAGTAACGGAGCTTTAGAAATAATGAAGCGAATGTGGAGAGAACTAAAGGGAGGAATCCACAATCATAGTTGGAGATTTTGACGCCCTTTTCTGAGCATTTGATTAGAGAACTAGACATATCGGTAAAAATACAGAAAATGTGAACTACGCTATCAACTAACTTAATCTAATTGGCATCTATAGATAACGTACTGAACAATTTTTAGGCAACATACTTGAAAATTTTTTTCAAGGAATGTAAAATATTCACCAATCTGAACAACAAGAAAGGCAACAAAATAAGTCTGGGTGAATTTCAAAGACTGGAATGTACTTTGAAATGGACTCTGTATTTCAGAGGGTATTCTCTGACCATAAAGGAATTAAATTAGAGCTCAACAACAATAAGCTACCAAGAAAATCTTCAAATATTTGGAAACTATACAGTATACTTCTAAATAAGTCGTAGGTCAAAAAATAAATAAAATCACAGTGGAAATGAGAAACTACTTTAAATTCAATGATAATATAAACACATTATTACATATCAAAATGTATGGGATGTAGCTAAAAAGGAAAAATTATAGCTTTAATTATATTTTTTAACTTATATTGTAACATCAGTTATCTAAGTTTTCATCTTAAGATTATGTGTTCCACGTTGTAGTCATCAGGGAAATGCAACTTAAAAACCACATCGAGATACTATTTCCCACCCACCAGAATGACTAAAATTAAAGACAGAGGATACAAAATATTGGCAGCGATGTAGCCCAACGAGAGCGTTCATCCATTGCTGGTGGGAGCGTAAAATGCTGTAACCACTTCAGAAAACTATTTGATGGTTTCTTAAAAAGTAAAATATACACCTGGTAGAAATTCTGTCTTAGGAATTTCGCAAAAGAAATGAAAACACATATCCACAAAAATACTTGTACGAGACTATTTCGAGCAGCTTTATGTATCATAGCCCTGAAGGACGAACGACTCAGATGCCTATCAATAGGAAAGTGGATCGTTAGATCACGGCATGTTCACGTCATGAAATACTACTCAGCGATAAAAAGTATGAATAATGACATACCTAACACCAAGGATGAATCCAAAGACACTATATTGAGCAAAAGAAGCCAGACACAGAAGAACACATGCCACAGACTTCTGTTTGTGTGGTGCTTAAGATCAGGCAAAATTACTCTACGGGGCTGGACGTCAAAGCACTGGCTGCCTGTGGCTGCTCAATTATTGGGAAGAAGATGCAAGCGGAGTTTGGGGGTAGCGAATATGTTTTATTTTTTGATTAGGGGGTTGGTTTTACATTTGTACATATTTGTCAAAGCTCATTGAATTGTACTCTTAAGGTCAGTGTATTTCACTATACGTAAATTTTTCCTCAATAAAACATTTTAAAAATAATAACTGAGCCCTGGGAGGAAGTTAGGTTCCCTCCCCAGGGGTCCTCAGGGAGAGCTTAGCTGTTCCACACCTCCAGCCTGGTAGTGTCGTTTGTCACTCTTGCCCTGGGCTGCTTCTTTGTTGATCACCTCGGGCTGTCTCCTCACTCTTGGTTTGTTTCATACCCAGAGCTCAGACGTAGGTATTTTCTGTTTAGCAAAGCTTGAGGATAACTTAAGAGAATTAGAATGCAGAAAAATAAACCTTCTGTCTTTGTTAACTGTTTAACTCTTTATGGATTTCTTACTATGTGCAAACAGTTTTAAACAATTTTAGGTGTTTATTAATCCTCATAATAATCCATATGAAAGGTAGTATTATTAACCCCATGTTATAGATGAGGAAAGTTAGTCTCAGACAGTTTAAAGATCTCACCCAAGGTCACATAACTAGTAAGTAACAGAGCCGGAGTTTGGACTTGAGCAGTCTGGCTCTAGTACTCATGTTTTTAACCACGTTGCTATGCTGCTTCTAGCATCCTGCCCCTCCTTTTAGAGGTCCCCACTGACTGTCTCTTCCTTAACCCCGAGCCTGTGCCCATTGCTGGGCCTTCTCACCTCTGCCAAACCAGGTTCCCCCTTACCGTGGCCTTTCCCCCATGTCCAGGGCCCTAACTCCCTAACCTCTGGTCCTCTGGCCAGAGGAAGCAAAACGTCACTTACATCCCAGCAACCTCTGCAGAGATCCCCACCCCGTAGCATCCTTTTACATTGTTGAACAAGATAAATACTTAACATCCTCAATCTCTACCAATTTCTCAGATGGTTCAAAAGCTCAACATTGACTAATGAAGGTCTCTTTCAAAGACGTTTATCAGCATCTGTTCTAGAATGCAGAAACTACTGCAGCTTTAAAACAGCGTCTTCTTGTTCCTGCTACATATGCAAAGTCTTATTTATCATCTCCCTATGTGTACTTGGGGACGGCCAGAAAAGGTTATAAGCACGCTTTGAAAAGTGTAAAGTACTGGATTCAAGTAAAGCATTATTGCTGTGGTTGTATTTTCATATGCAGGAAGAGATGTGGGATTAGACCATAGAGACCTCTTCTTCTGGAGCCCCCAAGGGCCCCATATAAGTAAGTCTAAGCTCAGTCATTCTGACAGTTGATCAGCATTTATTAAGCACCCACTAAATAGATACCGGACACTACCGGGCACTTCCGGCCATATCCTGATCGCATCCCAAGTTCAATAACACTTAGAATGTGTATGCGAGGTTCCCTGGTTTCTTAAATCCAGGGAAGATGTTTCTCTCCTCACTAACTGCCATGGGAACTCCCTCCTCCCAGCCCAGGTGGCTGAGATGCTATCGTCGTGGCCATGTCTTTTCTAGCCCAGGATCTTTTGTGATTTTGGCCTCCATATCTTGAAAGGATTAAAGTGCCCCTCGAGGAAGGGGGTGACCTGAAGTCTCCGCTGGGGTCTTTGCTGAAGGAGAAGACACCTGAAATCCAGCGTCTGCAGGAAGAGTGGCAGAGTCAAAAGGCCAGACTGCAAGCCCAGGTAGGACAGCCGGCGGAGGTGCGCCCCCGCGCGGAGGGAGACCTCGCCCCCTCTTCACCCTAACAGTCCCCGGTCCAAGCTGGGGAGGGCACCCCAGGTCCAAGGCAAGGCCGAGTTCCTGGTTCTACAAACCAGACAAAAGTCCTGCACTCCAGTGCCTATGTTTTAGCAGAGGAGGTGGGTACAGACCATCCATACTAGGCATAAGAAATAAGTAAAGCACATAGTATTTGAGAAAATGATAACAGCTTCAGGAAAAGAACCATAAAAAAACAAAAAACCCAGAAGAGTAAAGAGGAGTGGACGGCTGTCTGGTGATGAGGGGGTGAGTGTAACACTAAAGCGTTGTCAGGGGGGCTTCGGCAAGAAAGGGAGGGCTGAGCAAGCACTGAAGGAGGTGAGGGAGGCCACGTCGATCCCCGAGTCCCCTTGACTTCTCTGGGATGGTTTGCGTCCTAGTCCTTTGCCTCCCCTTGCCCAGCACTCACGCAGAGCTGTAGCTGAGGAGCGCCCGGGGGGACTGGCCGGGCCAGGGCTCTCCAGCCTTGAGACTCCCGCCGGCCTCAGAGTTCCCATGAGTAGAGGAGGCTCCGCGGGGCCGTGGAGACGGTCGGGAAGCTTGCATTTCTTAAGGAAGTCCCGGGGAGGGAGGAGGCTCGCTGAGGGCAGGCCGCCCGCGGGCAGGTCTCGCAGATGCAGCAGGCTCTGGAGCAGTGCGCCAGCCAGTACCAGGACGACCTGCGGGAGCTGCAGCAGCTCTCCGACCACGAGAGGGAGAAGCTGCAGCGCGAGCTCCGGGAGACCAGAGAGCAGAACCAGGCCGTGAAGGCCCAGCTCCAGGCCTCCCACCAGAGGGCCCTCCGCGTGCTGGAGAAGGCCAAAAATCAAGAGCTCAAGGTAAGGGTGCTCGTTACGAGGTCCCCCCTAGGACCGAACCCTGGCCACGCAGTATACAGGGTGCCCTTCGTACTTTATCTCCCATCCCTACGCTGATCTCACAAGGTCATGAGCATCACATTCCCTTCTCCCAGACAGGAAAGAGGCTCAGAGATTTGGCAGCTTGCTCAGGGTCACAGCCAATAAGTAGCAAAGCGAGGATTCAGACCCAGGTCTGTCTGCTAGGTTTCTTGTATTGCTTTTCCCTATCTGTATGTGACCTTGATCATGTAAGAACTTTCTTTCCTGACGTGGGCAGTGTCCTGCATGATGCATGCTGGAGAGTCAGGCTCAGACTGGCAGCTCTAACAGCCCAGAGTTGAGAAAGACCAGCTCAGCAAGGCCGCTGCGATGCGGGGTCAGGCCCGCGGCCAGTGTACGCCAGCAGGGAGGGCAGAGCTCGGTTCACCTCTCCCCTCCCACCCTCTGCTTTCTCAGAAGGCCCCGCCCCTTGTTCTCTCGGGACACGAGGCTCCTTTTCTGACTGCCACAGATAAAGGACTGTCTTTCCACTGTCACGGCAGCTTCATACTCTAATGAGTTCTTTCTATGGTCAAATCTACCGAACCGGAAGCTCCTGAGGCCAGAACCTTCTCTATTTGCTCATCGGCGAATCCTTCCCCAGCTCATTGTAGCTACTTAATCAAGGGCCTCACTGAGTTATTCAGAGTCTCTGTGGCTTAGTTCATCCGGGTCGGTATCTAACAAACAGGAGTTCCAGAAAGAGATCATGGAGGGGAGGATACTTTCAAAGAAACAGCAGAATTAAGTTCCTAGAACTAAATGAGAATACCCCTCGTCTTGAAATTTTAGAACACCAGGGAAACGGAAGAAATTCTAAAAGCTCCCAAGGAGGAACAATGGTGTCAGACACAAAGTGCTTGAATAAGAATATTATCAAACATCTCGCCAGCAACACGGGAATCTAAAAGACAAGGAAGCAATTCTGAGCAGCTTAGTTAAAACTATTAATAAGTGTGAGCATTGAATGAAAAGTCATCAGACATATTAAGTATATGAAAGTCACCTCCTGCTATCAATTTAATGCCTCTCAGCTCCCAATTCGCCCTTCAGTGCGTGCTCTGCGATAATGATCTGGATTCTTGAAGCATTTCCCACAGAGAGCGCGATGCTAAGCTTTGCCAGTAGAGGGCGCCGGAGGCACCTTGCAGGAGAAAGGGCGCTTCTCCTGGTCCTGGCAGCTAGCTGCGTTTTTGCTTTGTTTCTGGCTTCTGTTGCACGGTTGAACAGTGGTGTAAGTGTGTGAGGACACCAGGTGATATCCTGCCCCAGTGACCTCACAGTGACCTCAGAGCCCTGGCCCAGAGCCAATGACGACCTCCTCGTGGCCTCCTGATATGGACACCGCACACTCCAGCCCTCACGCCTGCATCGACGGGGCCCTGACCCTCTCTGGGATCCTGCCCATCGGCCACTGTCACCTGCTCCCCAGGTGTTTGTTTCCTGCAGCCCTCCCAAGGCAAACGCTGTCTGCTTCAGCCCTCAGGCCTGCATGGGTGCCCCATCCCTCCGAGCACCCACCTACCTGTGGCTCACCTGTACTCTGGAGGGTTGTTCCTGCTTCTCCAGTAACTGGACCAGCTCTGGCCGGGGCAACCCAGTGATCTCCTCCACCAGTGAGCTGCCACTGTAGCTTCTGCAAGGCCTTTCGCAAGTCTTTGCTTCCGTCTCTCCATTCCCATTTCCCTGGGGATAAAAATGTCACCAGTTGGAGTTCTCTGGGTCTTGCAGTAAGTGCAAGACGAGGAAATATATTGGAGAGTTTGAAAAGTATGAGACTTTCCTGTCTCATTGAATAAACTCACCACAGGATGATTGGGTTTCTCTTGGGAGGAGTAAGACTGTTTCTCTCCATTTACTGGGGAGCAGCAAGGCAAGGGAGCGCCCGCATTCAGTTAGCTGCCTGGGGCTCGAGGATGGCTCTGTTCTCCCCTAACGGGAGCCTCGTGCATCTGGGGAAATCCCATTTCTTATTGTTCCCAGAGGCTGCATGAGGGAGGGGAAAGGGGAGGACTCGTGCCCTGGACACCGCGGTTTGCGGGTTGCCATCCTGCCTCCGCCACTACCCAGCTGCAGTCAGGTCACTTCCCCTTGCTGAGCTAGTTTCCTCCTCTGTCAAAACAAACAAACAGACAGACAAACGGAGGTAAGGAGGGAACGATGACTTCTGCATCTTTTCTGTGTGACCTTGGAAAAGCTAATTTATCTCTCCCAGCCTCAATCTCCTCGTCTCATCTAAAAAGTGGGGCTATGTACTAACTGCTGTTGAAAAAAAAAAACTCCAGAAACTGTATTTGTTTCCTACTGCTGATGTACCAAACCACCACAAACTTGGCGGCTTAACACAACACAGTTCTTATCCTGCAGCCTGGAGGTTCGGAGTCCGGAAGTCAGGGTGTCGGCGGGACTGTTTTCCTTCTAAAGGCTCTCGGGGAGAATCTGTTTTCTTGCTTTTCCCAGCTTCTGGAAGCTGCCTGCGTCATCAAAGGCAACAGTATAGCATATAGCATCTTCAACTCAATCTCTCTCTCTCTCTCTCCACACCACCCCGCCTGCCCACCTTGCTCCTCCCTCTCCTCCTCCCAGCCTCCTCCTCTCCCTCTTTCCCCCCTGTTTCCATCATCGCTTCTTCTTTGACTGGCTCTCCCGCTTCCCTCTTACAGGGACCCCTGTGATTATATTGGGCCCACCCAGATAATTCAGGAAAATCTTCCATCTCTAGGTCCCTGACTTAATGACCCCTGCACAGCCTGTTTTACCACATCACGTATTCGCAGGTTCTGGGGATTCAGACATGGACATCTCAGGGAGTCATTATTGTGCTGCCACAGAAAGCACCTTGAGCCAGCCTAGGCAGTGAAGATGTTTCTGTTAAACTTTAACAGCTGTCCACAGAACCCGCTTTGGGTGTTCGGCACATACTAGGCCTTCAATTCATGAATGTTTGTTGAACAAAAGAATGAAAATATAAGTGAACCCAAGGGCAGAGACACAGCCAGTTCTCAGGACCAGATGACCAGGGACTGAAAAAGCTGTAGGGACCCCTCCTTCCGTCACTTCTGCTCAGCTTTGCACGTCAGCCCTCGGCTGTCTCCACAGGCAGCTCCCTCTGCCTCTCTGGACCTAGGGCAGGTGTAAGATGCTCACCTCACTCCCCTGAGTGTGTTAAAATGGAAGCCAGCTGGTCAATGTCTGTCTTTCTCTCTCTATCTCTCTGGCTCCTCTCTCTCTCTTCCCACCTCCTGGCACCACATTCCCAGTGACTGGCCCAGCTTGAGACAGGTGTCCACTCTGGTCCAGTCAGCTATGGACCGAGGTTAGGTTCACATGGTACAAAATGGCTGCTGTGGCCAGGCCATCACTGTCATCCCTGGTGGGTGATGGAGCATTCACTGTTGTAGCCTGATAAGCCCTTCACCAGGGAGTGGCGGTGCCCAGAGGGGCCCCCATAGAGAGGAGGAGCTTGGGGTCTCTCCCTCTGTGCCCGCTTTCATGCCTCCTTCCCCCCACTTTTGCCCACAGGCCACAGAGGAGCGCCTGAAGAAGGAATCCAGCCACAGCCTCCAGATGCAGCACCAGGCGCACCGGCTGGAGCTCCAGGCCTTGGAGGAAAAGGCCCAGCAAGAGCTCCAGGGGGAGCAGGAGAGGATGCAGGCTCAGCAGGCTCTGCTGCTAGGTATACAGCCAGCCACACCCCCCGCCAGGGTCTGCATGGGGCCCAGGGGTGGCGTGGGGCCCAGGGGTCTGGGGGCACACAGGCCAGGGTGGCTGTCCTGGCTCTACCACCAACTAGCGGTGAGACCTGGAGCAGGTTACTCTCAGCCTCATTTTCCGTTTCTATAAAATGGAGTTACGGTTGTCTCTCCCTCATAGAGTATTGTGTGACTTTGATGAGACATTAAATATGAAACACTAGGCACGTAACAGGGTCCCAGCAAATGCAGATAATACCGTAATCATCACCATTAGTACTGAACGTAACCCAGGTCTCTGAGAATTCAAAAGAGTTTCATGGGGTTGCTTCGACCTCTCATTTCTATTCTGAAGATACCACCCAGGAAGCCTACGATTTGCCATCACCATTACAAAGTCCAGAAAGCCCCTTCTTCCTGGGACTGACATGTGGGGGTCTCAGGCCTCCAGGCTCCTGCATGTCCTCTGCTTCCTTCGCCTGCCCCCACATTATCCCCAGCCGGAAACCAAAAAAACACATTAAAAATCAGTGACACGAAGCATTCGGAAAGTTACCAGAGGCCGCAACGCTCTCCAGAGCCAAACTGCCTTGGCTCGAAGCCCAGCTCCAACACTCACTCACCGCGTGACCTTGGGCAAGTTGCTTAACTGCTTTGTGCCTCCGGTGCTCATCTGTAAAATGGAAGTAATAACAGCCTCGCCCTCATGGGCCGTTAGTAGAATTATGTGAGTAAATGCATGGGAAGTGCTTAGAACAGAGCCGCGTACACAGGCTATGTAAATGTTCACTGTCGTTATTTCTGAATATTCCGAGATTGCATGGCTGACTCTAGGGGCCTCTCTCCGTTTTTGTAGATCATCATTCTCCCTCATTTTCCGCTTTACTCTCACCTTCCTTCTCACTCTTAAGAGCAAGACAGATGCCTCTCCTTATCTCAAGCCTATCATTAAAGACCATGTTGGCCTATCGAATATGTTTTAAACCCAGATGGGGCTCTTAAAAGAATTCTGGAGGAGAGCCTTTTCTTTACTTGCGTAGGTGAATAAGACCTGCCTGCCGCTTGGCTGGGTTTTCACTGGGCAGCGTGTCCTTCTGGAGGACGTGATGTGGGGAGCAGGAAGGAGAAGGCGCATCCCACAGATTTCCTGGTTAGCAGCAACCCTGAAATGGAGGTGGCCATGTTGGAAATACTAAGGTTAGCAAAGTCCAAAGAAGACTCGTTATAGAAGATAAAACCCAGGTTGCGCCTCATGTCTCGGGTATAAGACTCCCCCGAGTTTAGATCAGGCTGGACTCTCCTGGGGATTCCAACACCCAGCAACTGTAGGCACAGATGTCCCTGCTGCCCCTTCCCTGACCCCTCTGATCCCAGAGCACTCCAGAGAGAATCAGGGGAGACCTGGGGACAGGCTGGGATTCTCAGCATCGGTCCCAGGAAGAAAGAGCTTCGTGGACTTTGTAACGATGACGGCAAATCGTAGGCTTCCTGGGTGGTATTGCACGAATGGGAGCATCCACACACACACACACACAACAAGAGCGAAATTAGACATTCCTGGTCCCAACTACTCCTATTCCCCTGCCTGTGTGAGACACACTTGACCTGCAGCACAAGTCAGTGTGCAAGGGGCAGGAAGATGAGTGTCCATGAGATTACGTGACATGCTGAGATGGGCATCCGGACATGCTGGATAGATGGGTGGATGGATGGATGGATGAAGGGATGGGTAGATATGTGGTGGGAGGTAAGAGAGAAGAGGGGAGGGGAATGAATTGCTGAAAAGTTTTATTGCAGTTTTTGTGGTAAAGGATTTTAAAAGACTGGGTTGTATCTGGATTTTTCTAAAGATAATAAGCTTTAGAAGTTATTTTATTCAAATTCTACTGGGGAGAAAAGACAACCAAGTTTTTCAACATAATGTCATCAGAATGTATTAGCTATTAGGTGTTAATATACTGTACATTTGAGAGAAGCTTGGTAGGCTTATGGGAAATCTTTTACAACTAATATACATTTACAATTTAATTGATTTTTCACGCTAAACATCGTTCGTTTATTTTACAAATATATGCTGAGCACTTGCTATATACCGAGGCCTGTACTGGGTGCTTACCTTATGGCTTATGGAATTATTGGAACAATATTTCAAGTTATTTATAATAACTAAAATATAATCTTAAAAGTCCATAATAGAAAAGTATCAAATTTACTAGCCCTTAAAATTATCTTTTCAAAAACGAAGAGCTCACTGAATAGCGTCCACTCTATCAGAAAATATTCATTTTGAAATGATCGTTTTGCTTTTCAATCATGCTGATAATTATTACTCTACTAGAAATCATCCCCCATCGTCAGATTTTACCCACCAAACTCAAAATTTGAGTTTCTGGCTATCTTCTACCCTGAGTTACATTTCTCCTGGATGATTCTGGTTTTAATCCTGATTCTATTGGGATAACATGCCCGCTCCTGCCTCCACAGGCCAGCCAAAAACCTCACACCAATGAGAGGGAGAGTCCATGAATGTTTTGTCTCCTGAAGAGTTGCCATAAATGTCAAAATTTCCGACTTGAGACCCGCAAACCCAGAAAAGGCCCCTGGTCATTTGATAATTCCCTGTTCTCTTGGTTTTCTGACTTGGTGCTTAGGCCAGATGCTACCCCTGCATTCAGCCCTGTCTCAGGCTAACCCACTGTAACGCACCACCCTTCCTAACCAGCCACAGTGGCTAAGCAGGGGTTCCGAGTAAAGGACCACTGGCAGTTTTGAATCCTGACTCCACCTCTCACTAGCTGTGTGGCTCTAGTCTACTTATCCTCTCTGTGGCTCAGTTTCCTCACCATAAAAAATGGGAGAGACAATACTGGATAGAATGGTCAAGAGTCCAGCACACTCAGCTGTACGTGGTTCCGTTCCTGTTGTCTTGAAGTAAGTTAGGAGAACTCAATTCAAAGCCGTCAGCAGCTGCCCACCCGGACCGTTGTCCCCGCAGGAAAGGCTTCAGCCTCACGTGGGCCTGACCCGCTGCTCTTCCCTCTGCAGAGTCCCTCAGGCAGGAGCTGTGGGAGCAACGGGCTGCCTGCTCTGAGCACCAGAAGGACTTGGAGGTGCTGCAGGCTGAGCTGAGGGCTCTGGGCAGCTCGGGCAGGCGGCAGGCGACCGCCCAGTGTCCAGGGGACAGCGAGGACCACACCAGCACCGCAGAGGTCAGAGCCCCTGCCCTGTCCACGCCACATCCCTCTCAGAGCAGCGTCAAGGCTGCAGCAGGACACTCCCGAAGGGAAGGAAGGCCCTGGGTGCTCCATCCCGTCTGACACAGGGAACACCCCTCTCCTTCCGCTAGGGGGCACCCGAAGAACCTGCAGGCTCCCTTCTTTGAAAAGCAAAAAAACAAGTTATTTTAAATTCAGACTCGATAGCATCTCAGGATGTTGGTGCCAGACAGGCCACCGAGACAGGCAGGCCGGGTCATTTCTTCAGGTCTGCAGGAGACTGTCCCTGAGCTCCTCCCAGACAGACTCCCTGTCTAGACCTCCTGTTCCCAAGAGTGGGAGCTGCCTCGTCATCTGCGCTCAGTGCCCACTCCCCTTGAATTTCCTGGTCAGATCTGGCCCATCGGCCCCTTCCGTGCACATCCATAATTCCTACCTAGCAGGGTAACATAATGACCTCCTAACAGCCCGGGCCGCCCTCCTCCAGCCCACTGTCCGGCTTCAGATATTCGTCTAACGCGCGTTTGTAGAAAGCCGCGGGGGGCTCCCTGCCGCCGTCGAGGCTGGAGGCTGGGGGGAGCGCAGGGCCCCATCTTCGCCGCAGCACGTCCGCGGCCCTGCGCGCCTGGTCCGCCTTTGCGCCCCCTGAAGACATCTCTCCCGGACACCTTCTGCCTAGGATGGAGGCGGTCCGGGCCCAGCGACCTCCGCAGCGGGCGTCCCTGAGCAGAGTCCCGGCGAGGGATGCGGCCTCTGGGAGGAGAACTCGCAGCTCAAGGACACGGTGCGGCGGCTGCGGGCCGAGGTGGAACAGCACCAGCAGGAGGCGCTGCAGCTCCGCGACCAGCGCAGGTGGGTCTGCGGGCCCCAGAGCTTCCCGCCCTCCCTCCGCTGCCCCTAATACGCGGACACTTCACTGATGCGACTCCTTTGACCCATGAAAAGTATCTAGGAATTCTAGATCAAAACTACAGAGGATTTGCCCTGAAATCGATACTGGAACCCCATTTCTCTACAAATCAGGAAATTTATGGCATCAGGTCTAACGATACCAAAAGTGTCCTCAAAACTAGCCTTAGGGAGGCGGTGCTGTGTGCTTTTAACCAGCTGTTTGAGCTTGGGCGAGTCAGCTAACTTCTCCAAGCCTGTGCCCTCACCTGTGAAATGGAGATGGTACCACCCACCACCTCTCAGGGCTGCTGTAGAACACAGTGAAGTGTATGCCAGGTGCCCAGCGCCATCCTGGCATGAAGGAAGCACCCCACGGACGGTGGCAGTTACTACTACCTCATCCGGGTTGGATAGCTCATCACCAGTCCTGAATTCACAGCCTTTTCCCCCTTGTTGGAAAGTTTATAACTACAATTTTAATTTCATTAATAGATGTAGGACTTTTCAGGTTATCTGTTTCTTCTTGAGTGAAGTTTGGTGGTTTATAGCTTGCAAGTCCCCAGCATAAAGCTGCTCAAGTAAAAGTCGACTTGAGGCTCACCTGAGAAACAACCATGAGCCCACCTGGCCAAGGTGGGACACCTGCGGGACACCTCAAATTCAGTCAGGGACTCACCATAAGACACTAGAATAAGGAGGCCAGACCAGGGTAGAGACTCTTAACCGTTTGGGTTACAGGCCGCTCCAGTTGAGGAAAGCAATGGTCCCTCTCCTGGGAGAATATAATCACACAAAAATGTGCATGTACTTTCAGAGGGTGACACACCCCCTGAGGCTTGTCTGTAGATCCTCCTACCCCGAAGTTAAGAAAAATGATGGCTGAAGAGGTTTCTCTTTCATGGAATGCTGGAGTGGGAGGTGCTGAGAAGGGGTCCCACAGGCGGGGCTTATCCCGGACCCCACGATTCAGATACCCCGGGTCTCCTTCCCACGGTGTCCCGAGCTCAGATTCATAACCTCCCCCACCCATTGTCTCCAAATCTGGCCACCCAGCAGAGGGGGGAGAAAACCCTGGTGCCCAAGAGGTCAGTCCCCAGAGCCTGGGCCAGCCCAGCTGTGCTTCCATTCACCGCAGGCTGCTGGAGGAGGACCAGCAAGCCCAGCGGGCCCGGGAGGTGGAGATGCTACACCAGGAGCACCGGAAGGAGATGCAGGCCGTGGTGGCAGATTTCAGCAGCACTCAAGCCCGGCTCCAGGCCCGGCTGGCTGCCCTGGAAACCGAGTAAGTGAGGCGTTGGCCCCAGGTTGGGAAGGACGAGTCGATGTGCCATTTTACGAGGGTGACCAACTCATCCCAGTGTCCCTGGGACTTTCTCAAACTAGAAGTCCCGAGTTCCAGGAAGCACCGCAGTCCTAGGCAAACCGGCACAGTTGGTCACCAGTCCCCTTTTGTGCGGGGACCTGGGAATCTGTGAGGAATGAGCCTGCCTCGTGGGCCCGGTTTGACCTTCACACTGGAAGAAATCAGAAAGATCAAGGCTATTTTTTATGAACAGTGGCCCTCTTCTAACACACATCATCTCATTCAGTCTTCAAAGCAGTCCTTCAAGGGCCACTCGTTGTGTGCGCGTGCATTCATTTATTCATTCTGCAAGTATTTATGAAGGGCCTACTGCTTTAGGCTTAGGATGACAGCAGGGGATGAAATAAAGACTGTGCTCTCCTAGAACTCACGAATTCTAGAAGGGGATTCTGACAAGAAATAAGCAAACAAATAAATATTTAACTTCATATCAGGTAGTGACAGTGCTGGAAATAAAACAGGATCAGTATCTAGAGAATGGCGAGGGTGGACAAGGGTGGTTTCTTTAAGGAGGTGACATTTAAGCACAAGGGGGTGAGGGAATGAGAGAGCCATCTGGAAAAAGAGCATTCCAAGCCGACAGGACAGCCAGAGCAAAGGCCCTGGGGCCTGCTTCCTGAGACTGGACAGCCGGAAGGCCCACGTGGCTTAAGTGGAACGAGCGAGAGGGTAGGTGGTAGAAATCGAGGGTGGCGGGGTAACTTGGAGGGATGAAGGAAATCCTTCACTAAACAGGACGGAGTTGGGATGCATTCAGAGTACACTGGGAAGCCATTGCAAGGCCCCCAGCAGGAGTGACATGGTTTGATTTACATTTTAACGGGGTCACTTCTGGCTTTTGAAAGACGGGGGATCAGGGTTAGCGTCAGGGAGACCAGTCAAGCAGCACTAAGTGAATTTGAATGTCACCTGTCTGACATTAGCACTCTTAAAAACTGTCCTCCATTGTCTCCAATACAAAGAAAATCAATCATCCAAAATCTGGAATGGAAGGTTTTTCCATCTACCATGTGCCAGGCACCTGTTATCTCTCTGAATGCTCACAGACACCTGGTTCATGCCCTTTTAAAGGAGGAGCTGAGGCTCAGAGGTGAAATGCCATGCCCACGGTCATACATAGCTGGATAAACGTGGAGCTGGGACTAGACGCAAGTCATCTCACCCCAAAGTCCTGGTCTCTTATCGGCTACAGTCTATAGGTCATCTGCAGCCCTAACCATCTCTCTCCCCTACCATCCAGAGAGTTGTTATTTCTCTCCAGTTTCACGGTGAACGGGCTGTGGCTACCGGCCGCCCCGCTGCTGTCCTGGAACTAGCTCATGCCGCGCTCCGTGCCCGCCAGCAGATGGCGCAAGAGCCACGTCAGCATTAGCACAGCCTTGCGGGCATTGGCTGGGGGTTGGGGCATGGTCCTGCTGAGGCCTCTTCTCCCAAACATCCCTGGGTTTTGCGAGCACACACCGGCCTTTGGTTCCTCGGCCCCGCAGCCTTGGGGAAACTGACAACGGTCAGGCTGGGAGTTGAGGCCTTGGGCTCCACCCTGAGCTCTGCAGACAACTCACGGGTGGCCGCCTGGGCAAGCTCTCTGCGCCTCAGTCTTCCCTTTCGTGAATGAGAGAATGGCTAGCCAGGCTGAGCACACAGTGGCGTCCCCATCACGGCTTCACCAATTCTCCCTGCTCATGGTTGAGTAATTGCAATAAGGGGCTAACTGCATGTCTGCCTGAAACAGGCTGAAAGATTCCGGGGAGAAGCCAGGGAAGGGGGCGTCCAGGCCCGAGGACCTTCAGCTCATTGGCCGTCTGCAGACCCGCCTGAAGGAGAGAGAGGACATCATCAAGCAGCTCACGGTGAGGCTGCGGGCCGCCAGCCTTCCTCCGGGAGGGGCATCCGCTTTGCGCCTGGCATTTCCCTGGGTACCTAAAATTTTTAATCCTGATGACCATATAACCACCTTACGAAAACGATCCTCCGTTATTTTGTTCCTTTTATATGTGTGTGTGTATTTTTTTTAAATACATACTAAAAAATAATAAATAAAACAAAAATAGAAAAAATTAATAAAAATAAGTAAATACATACTAAAAATAACACGGGAAAATAGCAGGCAAAAAAAATCATTCTGTTTCCAAGTCCCACAGCATTCCCCTGCTGCTAATATTGGTTTGGTTTTTTTAACCAACAGAATTCGGGAAAATCTAAAGTGGATTTTAGTCGACTCAATCAAGCCAGTTATTCTTTATCGATGTTCCTTCCATAGAAATGACCACCTGTTTTCCAGTTAGCAAAGCCACCCCCTGGACCCCTTAAGAAGTTTTCTGTATCGTGCAGCCACCAAGGCTTGGTCGCTATTTCTTTGAAATGCCCCTCGCCAGACTCTCCTGCTCATTCCTGTGGCCACCCACCTCACATCTGTGTCACCTCACACTTTGACCATTTCTTTAGGCTCTAACCCAGCCTCCCCATGCTCCACGGTTTAGTCAAAAGTTCTTTATATTGCCCCAGCCGAATCAGCTGGAACAGCTCCTAATGGCTTACATCCAGCTCTGGGGACAGTGGGTGGCAGATTCACTTCTTTCAGTGTGGCCTACGGGGGTAGCGCTCGTTAGCCACATCAGAAGTCCAGCCACTTCCCACCGTCTGTGTCTCCACCACCTTGGTCCAAGCCCCATGGCCTCACACATGCACAATGGAGAATCCACCGGTCTCCCCTCGCTCGAGCCTCATCCCACTGTGCTGACCTCACAGCAACCAGAGTGAGCTCAGGCAACTGCCAGATCACAGCTCGGCTCTGCTCAGCACCTCCTGTGGCCTCCCATCTTGGAGTATAGTCCACGGTCGTGCAGTGGCTTGCGCAGCCGCACGTCCTCCCACAAGTACACGCACGCCTCCCATGTATCTCATCTCACCCCCATCCCCGGCCTCCTGCTCCACTCTATCCTCTCAAGACATTCGGGACAACTTAACCACTCACTGAAAATGAGACGATACTAATAAGGAGTTACTCAAGGGCGGCAAAGGTATTGTGGGTCTTTTTCCAGAGTCCTTATCTCTCAGAGATGCGTATAGATATTTTTACAGATGAAATTATACAATGACTGGAATTCGTTTTAAAAATAATACAGAAGGAAATAAAGTGGAGGATGGCACACGTAAATAAACAAGATTGACCATACAGTGATTGCACCTGGGGGCTCTTCTTTCTTTGCCTTCATCATTGACTTTCTGCAGGAGGCTCTTCTCAAATACTGACACCTGGATCTCTAACTTCCCTAAGGCATTCCTTTACGATAAGAGGAGCTGGGGACATGAAGGACCCAGGAGTAAAGGTGCTTTCTCAAAGCTTCAGTGGCCGACAGCTTGATTCCCCACTGACTTCCCCTCTTGCCCTGGACTTTCCTTCTCTCTGTATTCTGCCCTCACACAGCCGTCTTCCTTCAAGTCAAACCCGGTGCCATGTGGTTAGGCCCATTTAGACTCAGCTGTGTTGTTTTTCCAGGAGGAGAGAAGATTTCACTATGCAGCGTTCCCCAGCGCAGTGTCCCATCGGAATCGGTCCTTCTCTTTCAATCCTCACCCGGGGTATTTGACTCCGTCCATGAAAGTAAGTTTGTTCTTCTGGCTTCAATGCCTTACAGAATTCTGAAGGTTTCCTTTTTTCCTAAAAACTACAGCTTATCTATCAAAGGGCTGGCATGCATTCAGAGGAATCTTCATCGAAAATAAGACCCACAAGAAATAGTCCAAATTTTAAACAGTATTTTATCTGGCTAGGCAGATTATATGTGTTTTTAATTTTGTCTGGGTTTTCGTGTTTTCCAAATTTCCTATAAATGAATGTGTCGATTTTAATAATGGCTGTAATCATAGCGAGTGGGAGAGAGAAGAGCAGGAGTCTTCCATTTCTTAACTTTTTTCACCCTATATTTTGGAATTTGTTACAATGAGACTATTTCATCTCATCTGCTATCATAAGATCCTAAAAATGCTTTAAAAATTAGTATTTTTTCATAGCTCATAGGACGATAAACCCAACTTAAGCCAAATTGATGTGAGCTCATTTATACTTTTTCTGTCATCCCTCTTAGTAGGACCAAACCTAAGTTTCACTTCAGAAATATCAGTGCATTTAAGGACAAGGTGGGCCCAGCCCATGCTGGGGCGTTATATGGTCTTTGAAAATCTAAAAAAAATATTTTGAATTATGAAATACATCTGTCTCCAGAAATTTTGGATAAGAGAACCTATGTGTTTCTTAAAACATAAAATAGAGGGAAAAAAATACTTAAAAAAATAATATAAGTACATAAATAAAAGTCTTGCCTCCTTGCTCATATAGTTTTGGTTGGTAGGCCTCACTTACTTTTACAATAGTGCCTCTTGGGTGACTCTAACAGGCCTGTCCTTTAATCTAAACAGAAAAAGAAGATGGAGGAAGTGCCCAGCCGAGTGGTCAGTGTGCCGAACCTCGCCTCCTATGCCAAGAACTTTCTGAGTGGTGATCTGAGCTCCAGGATCAATGCCCCTCCAATAACTAAGTCACCCAGCTTGGACCCGAGCCCCAGCGGAGGTCGGCCTTACAAACCCACGCAGTCTCTAGATGTGAAAACTGCCACAAGGTAGGGCGAAGAAGCTGTGATTCTATTTCTCCATAATAGGAGGAAAGTTAGGATTCTTTTTCAACATCTATTAAATATCTGGCATTTAGGTGGATATAAAGAATAGCAAAACAAGCCCTGCCTTGGACAAATTACAATCCAGCCAAATGGGAAGCTTGTGTAGGAGGGAAATATGTCATTGTTTGGAAGAGGGACTATTCCTCGGACCAAATTCCAGAAAGGCTTTTTTTCATGGATGATTAGACAGGGGACATCAAATCACTTAGCTGACCACTTCAGTGTGGGTTACACAGAAGGTAGACTCTCATCATCTGGCCTTGAGGTCTGGATTCAAGTTCTGATCCTCCTCACTTTTAGCTGTGTGGCCTTGGGCAGACTACTTGACTTTTCTGGGTCTCCATTTCTTCACCTCTAAAATGGAGCTAATACAGCACCAACCTCCTCAGACTGATATGAGGCTACAGGAATTAATTCGTAGGACGTGTTTAGCACAGGACCTGGCAGGGAAGCATTCGTTATATTTCTACTATTATTCAGGTTACTTATCAAGATTGATTGTATCATCCTGGAATTTTAAGGCCTCTTAATCTGTGGGTTTGGCTGCTCATACAAGACAAGCTCAGATACTGCCTTATTTTTCCAGAAATGCTTGCAACATGCTTCTCTTCCAGAAACACGATTTACCACACACACCCCTGCCCCCGCCGTTATTATTTCTCCCTCCTATCTAGTTTTCTATTCAGAGGCAAAATTTTTAAAGTCTGGACTTTTAAGTTTGCATTTCAGAAAGAGCCCTTCCTAGAATGTTCCTTTTCCAAAGGCTCTGCCTGCCTACCTGTGGCTGTTCAGATGAAGGGAGTGACATAGACCTTAACAGAGTTAAGCTGGATGGACCTCCCAGCAGTCAGTCATTGAATGAGTCCAGCGCTTTGTTTCACAGCTAAGGAAACTGAGGCCAGGAGCCCCCAGCAACCCCTCCATTAACTGCTAGAGCCCCTGACTCTGGCCACAGATTCATCTCATCATTATACGCCTCTATTTAAAACTATGTTCCCATTATTTTATGTGAAGCTTCAAAGTTGCAGATAGAGGTTGTTCAGTCAGGTATACACCATACTTCCTGTTTCCTGTTTCCCCTTTTCAATTTATTAAAGGCTAATTTCACAGCCTCATCAAAATGCTAAAACACAGTAGATAACTTTTGAAGAAGCCATAAATTGTAATGCTGTTGAGTAACCATTTCTTCCTTTTACCTTTTTATGGGATTTATTGTTTAATATGTGTCTGAATTAATAATGCATATTGCAAATACACCTCATTGTCTTAAGTGACACAATGGAGAACGTGCTGATTTCCAAACAAGAATTAGATGTTCCCTCCCCACCCCCGTCCTTTGCAACTTAATTCCAGACACTAATGCTGGCCCGTCAAGTGCTAAGGTCTTTTGAAGAGTAGAGAAGCAGTTATCTTCCCCTGAAAAAATAGTGGGGTATTAAGTTGTTTATCGAATAGTTTTCAAACTAATCTAAGAAAGCTTTTTGTTTATTTTTAGGACACAAGATGGTGACACAGCCCAACCCAAAGAAGTCCAGCAGAAACAGGGCTCTGCCCACCAGGAATGGTTCACGAAGTATTTTTCTTTCTAAATTGATCCTTAGGATCCATCCCAAAGAGGACATTTGAAAAACATTTCTTTTAAAACAGGTGATTGAAGGAATGAACTAAAAAAACAACCAACCAAATAACCTGCTTATAATATGATTTGCATATGATGGCGTCAACAGAATTTGGCATTGGCATTTCATAGTTTCATTGGACACCAGTTCATTAAAAAATTATTGGCACGAGGATAAAACAAACCATCAATGTCAGAAAGCACCTATAGGAAAATGTTAATGTTACACACTGTATTTCTAGTGTCCATACAATTGCGGCCCACTTTGTGGACTATCCGACTATGATTAGAATCGTCCACCTTTAAAGTGGTTTTGTTTTTCCTTAGGATGCATGTCACCTCCACTGGAAAAGTGTTTCTAATTAACTGATATAATTCAAAATGCACATCCAACCTCAATAAGGAGAGAAAGAAAACAATTTCAAAATTACCAGAAAAACCAATTTAAAAAAAAAAAGCAAATCAGAACTACTAGGAATGAACAACAGCAGATCTTGACATATTGGGTTAAGTATTTTGATTTCCTAATCCGGGACATGAAGTAGATAATAGAAGAGATAACACCTACCTCAACAGGGGCTTTATGAGGATTACGTAAAATAATATGAGCAATGAGCCCAATCATGAATTAGAATTAAACACTGCCAGGATTTTTCTGTGAATAACTAAGCCTTGCCCCGTCATACATCTGTTTCAATGACTGTTGTGCCAATTTGGTCATTTGTGAAGGTTCCTAGATTTATCTGTTCTTCCAAGTCAAGGATCATCTGAACCTCTGGTCTTTGGGTTTGGGCCATTTTCCTCATGGTGTGTCGCTTCCTCCATTGCATGGATGCTCAGTAGATTAAAGGGAATTGGGAGTGGCCAGTCACAGTGCTGACCTGTCAGGCCACATTAAATTGTCTGACCCTCTGAAGGAGCAGTGTGATTTGACAAGGCTCAGTACACCTTTCAGTGAGCAAAATATGTTCTCAATCCTTTGGTGCTGGCCCGACAGGTGGCCCATAAACAGTCGTTTATTCTATGCACTGTCAAACCTTTGCTCTTTGAATAAAACTTTAAACTGGGCAATAAAAAAGGTCGTGACTTGTGATTTTCCAAAGAAGGGTGAGATTAGATGAAGACTGAACTTGGTAGTAGGAAGTTCACTTTGACCTCAGTCAGATTATCCTCAAACTAAAAGTAGCTGCTTACATACTTCTGACATTTTGAAAGAAATGCAATTAGAAACTCAAAACTTACAATTTAAAGGTAAATTTACTATCTGATCAAAATATATGGCCCACTACGATAATTTTTAAATGCAAATACTTGTTATCATACATGTAACATGCCGTAGTATTTTGCAGCATCAAGTATTTTTTAGTTCTTTTGTTTCCTGCTTTAAGGTGAGTATTGTAGAATTATAATGTTTGTATTTTGTTTTAAAGACTATGGAGAGTTACTACTCTTGTTTGTTGAAACATTTACCCACCACTGTGCAACTCCTGATGACTAGCAAAGTGGGCTACACTTCATACTACTGCCCTTAACTCAGCGTAATACCTGCTGCAGAAATAGACTTGTGTTGAGACGCTACATATTTTGACTCCTTTCTTGTTACAGGTGAGTGTAAGATCTTAAATGTCTAGATTCCATCCAATAATTACATGTTTGTTAACTAAATCTTTGCACGCTTCTATCATTTTTCCTTTAGGACATATTTCTTGGGCATTGAAGTAAAGCATCAGTGGATACACATTTAAGTTTTTTGTTTGATATGACCAAATTACTGTCCAGAAAGTTTCTAGCAATTTACACCTCCGCCAGCAGTGAACAAAATTTTCTGACTCTGGATAATACCGACGAGCTCAATTTGATAGATAAAATATTCTCATTTTTGTTTGCATATTTATCAATCTCTCAAGAGCAGAGTGGCCTAGAGATGATGGTGATAGCTTGGAGGGAACCGCAGAGAGGAAGAGAAATGAACAATTCAGAACTGAGTTGGGAAGAAGGAACAAGAGGATTTGATGAGAAATCTCTTGAGGTTATATTATGGCAGAGGGAACAAGAGTTAACACATCCCTAGGGCAAGACTGGAAAGGAATATTGCTGTGAATTGTTCCTTAACCGGGGCATAAAAGAACAAATTCACCCCATCAGTGGCCGCATACCGTGGACCTGAGCCCTTACTAACCGCTCTAGCATTGATGCCACATCCAACGTAGCAGTTGCGATTGAGGCTACTTGGTCTGTACTTAATCTCCGGGCAAGTTAAATGGAGCTACAACCTTCAGATTTCCGGGGGTGATCCCCGGCGTCATCCCCAGGTGCAGTACTGGGGTTGATCTACTAGCTCCTCGGCGGTTTGCTCGCCCCTTGCAGGAGATACTCAAAGATGGCCAGGCCTCTGACTATCTAGTAAGAAGTTAGTTTCTCATTATCTCACCACTGGAAGTCCAGATAGTATGGTGATAACCAGCTGACTCACTGTTCTCGTGTGCGGCGTCCTCCCTCATCTTCCCAGTGTCTGAGTCCTTGCACTAGCAATGTTCCCCTCTACGAGGACACTTCCTGGAACACCACTGCTGGAATCTTCCGCAACTGGGCCACCCTCCTTGTGCCAGTGACTGTCTGTGCCTCACATACCACTCAGAATGGGTGCCAGTTGGACAGTGAGCCAGTCCCCGAACCGCATCCTACTGTCTGCCGTTTCAGACCACGTCCCTAACACCCACGTCGTTCAGGTTCTCTGGAAGCATACCCCAAGACACAATTAGAAGTGCAAGACATTTATTAGGGATCTCGATGCCTAAGACCAGAGACCACCAGAAACGCACCTGTAGTTGAATAAGCAGTGTCTCTCACCTGCTGCAGAGGGAGAATGCTCATCATGGGGACTTCTCAGCGGTGTTAGCACCAATTTTAAGATTCTGGCGTTGGTTGTGTGATCTCAAGGAGAGTCTAAGGAGGCAGGGATTCACCCAAGGGTGGATGCTGTCAGAAAGTGAGGACAGTCCTCTAACTGGATGTCTTAATCTTTTCTAGAAGGGCAGATTAGAGCAAGGATGAAGCCGTAAATGGTTAAAAAAAAAAGTAATGGTTACTCACTTTAGCCAGGAAGATGTTTGGTTATTTTGGGGATGGCACAGTGACCTCGTTTTTTTCTTTTTCCCTGTGCGTAGACAAAATTATGAAGTGGTTTTCTTGGTCCTACTTTATCATGGTCTCAGAGCAACTTTGTCCAAGGTTGGTATTCTGAAACAGTTTCTGTCCAGCACGAGAGTAGGATGGCCACGCAGTGCTAGGCCAGCGTCTGGATGTTAGGGACAGGTCCCCTCCCCCTTCTTAGAGGAAACACCTGCATAAGATAAAGGGGAGAGGAAGCGGAGATGGGAGGGACCATGGGACGAGGACGGAGGGTTGACAACCGAGAAGGGGGCCAAGGAGGATTTGGGAAAGGACAGCTCTGAGATCTGGCAGGGCTGACGGTGCTCCAGAGCAGACTGCCCACTAAGGTCCTGTGCTGGGCAGAAGTGACCTGGCCCCGGTGACCGCACTGCACGTGGTCACTCCCAGAAAGCACATAGCCTTTGCTGGAACTCTGCGGCAGGTCCGCCAAGGCGAGAACGTTGGCAACTGCATCCGCTCTCTCTAAAGGACTGAGCAGCACTCCTCCGTGGCCTCCACAGGCCCAGGCCCCAGCCCACAGGAATGTCAACAATTAGAGGCTGGGTAGAAGAGGAAACAGAAAAGGGGAGAAGTGTTAACGAGAATGAGTTCAAGTAAAGAAAATAAAGTGTCCACTTGATTTGGCCACAGCAAAATGGCTGGTAACTGTCACAAGCACAGTTGTGGTCACATGCGAGGGACAGATGGCAGCCTGGAGTCGAAGGGAGGAGCAGGAGATGGAAAGAGCCACTCGAGCATCTAAGGGAACGTGGAGGGGAGCGGAGGAGATGAGGGACAGGGGACTCTTGTGACCAGCAGGGAACGGCCCAGTAGGTGGCGACACAAGGGTGGAAATCGCTCAAGGACTTCCGGCCTGGAGAAGGCAACTGCCTGGGGCCAGGACACGTGTGGAAAGGCTGGTCTTACACAGGGAGGCACTTCAGCAGGTGGAAAGGGAAGAAATAAAGATACCCTGAAGATGTGGGTCGGTTTATCATAACGGGAGAGGAGAAGGAGAATCCTGGTCGATGGCTTGTTATTTTCTCATTGAAAGAGACAGCAGCTTAGAGAGTATTCTATGATCGTCGACCAGCAAGATGTCGTTAAAAAGAAAAAAGATATTTACAAACAGACAAGACTGAAAACTATTTGACAGAAAACTTTTGAATTTAATAAAGATACAGCAATAACTGATACATATATTAATTCAAAATATTTTCACTAAGCACCAATTAGAAATAGTTCCTGAACTTTTCACCAAGAACCTCTTTGCCTAAAAGTTGTTTAGCTTTTAATCAGGAAATATAAAGCTGGTAAGTAGAGCTTCTAATTAGCATGACATGACCACATTAACCACCTTGAAATCATATAATGTGAGAAAAACAATTTTTAAAAACTTTGTTTAACCTATGCATTCTCACTGAGGGGACTTGCTGGCCTCAGGCTATATATCCTACATGCACAAACAAAAATGAGTAATAAGTGTTATGTATAAAAAATAATAGATGGTTCCTGTGCATTCAAAAGAAAATAATGTCTAATTCTCATGAAGGGCTCAGAGACAGAGATAAATTACTAACCCTCAAGAGAGAACCAAGCAAGATTGGTAGGAGACAGGAAGTATTCCTGTGTCCTGAGAGTGTGGCAGAGAGGGCATTCGGGGGCTTCAGGGACCAGGTGGCATCCAGGCCAGTGAGTGGATGCCATGCATGTGGGGAGGGGCCATCGAGGCTGGAGAAAACAAGGTGAGTCAGGAAACTGAGCCACAGAGATACTGCCTGTGAAGACAGCGGTGCATTTGTTTTGGGTAAAGGGATGTGATCTAGTAAGAGATTGTAAACAACAGAGGAAGAAAAGCTTCCTCTAGGGAAAGCAGGACACAACACCAGTCTATTTCTCCACAGCAGATCAGAGATCTGTGTGGCCCGTGTGACTAATAAAAGGGTAAGATGTCTCCCACACTCTAGGGCTCTGCGTCCCCTCTGTGGAGGGTACGAGCCAAAGGTAATGCTGCAGTCCACGCCCAGCCTGAGGCCCTGTCCCTTGGAACCAACACCATCCATCAGTAAGGCCCTTCCCCAATGGAAGACTTCTGCTCCAAAAAGCAAAACAAAAATAAAAGCAAACAAAACTCAAAAGAAGAGATAATCACAGTGAGCTTACACCCTCGAACTTCACCTGTGCCCAAAACATGCTGTTGAGAACAGGGTCTGTTTACTTAAACTGATTCATTAGTGCAGAAAGTTAAAAAAAATTTGGCAAATCACTGCTCCTACTACATCCCCCAACCCAAAAAAGTAAATAAACATCACAGAGAATATAAAGTTATCCCAAATAAAGTCAACATCAGCTTAGATCCTAGTGTAATAGTACTACCCTAACCTAGGATATTAAATTCCTCTTCCGACCTATTTACAGAATATCCTCATTCTCTTCTGAGAACTCTGCGAGCATTATTGCATTAGATTCCTCCTCTTGAGGTAGTTCAAAGTCTCAAAACAGCAAGTTTACACATTTTTACATACAACCACATCAAAGGCCTACAAAACCCCTCACCTTCCAATTCACTGATAGGATCATACAAACTGTTCTTCCCTCAGATGACACAAACTCATTTAAAACTATAAATACAAAACTATACAAAAATTAAAAAATAACAAGCAGAAAAAAGAAATAAAAAGGGATCTGTAAGTAGCATCACACTAATAGCCTACATTTTGCTACAAACAAAAATTTACTTGATTTACCAAAGCTACACCCATTTTGTAAAGTACTAAAGAAATAACATCTTACAAAAATAGAGGGAAATTTTTAGGTGAGAGCATGAAACTAAAATCATCTCATTCGCTGGCAGAGTTCTTCTAAAATGTCACGTCCCCGAAAAGTGATGTTTGGCAAAAAAAAACACCCCAAAACTGTATTTAGGTTGATTCACAGAGCAGCTCGCATCCAGACGGCCCTTACTCAGGTCTGCTTCATAGGCGCAGGGATGTTAGCGGACGCTTGCTCGAGGTAGGCCAAGGAGCCCTGAGGGATGTCGGCCGGCTTTTTGTGCTGCGCACTGACGTCCTCCAGCACCTGCTGCCAATGACGCAGCTTCGTCAAGTGCTTCTGGACCAGAGCATCTTTCCGCTGTAATTCATTCCTTAGCTCTGAGACATCCTAGGAACGAAGATGAAGTCAGAGCGAACACGTGAACAGTGACTACAGTTCCTGACTAGTTAAGAGCACTAAGAAGTAAATTCAAAACAAAGAAAAGCTATGAAACCATACTAAACCCATTACTCCGCTGGGCTCCGCTACTGAACAACCCAAAGCAACTCTTTCCAATGGCAGATGTCTGCTGAACACGGACTTTTTATTTTTAAATTATTTTCTTTTAATAAATAATATTCAAGTTAGAATATTCCAAAGTCTCAAAGGGCAGCCAAAAAGAAATCAATCTCTTTTCTATCCTGGTGCCCAGGTCCCCAGTATCTATGTCCAAAAGTCTACTGCTGAGAATTTAAAACTCGAAGAAACTGAAACACAAGATAAAAACTGTTTAAAAGAACCCGCAACCACGGTTCTATCATGTCAGGTTATGAAGTGTTAAAATCTCATTTTCAAGAGTCTTTTTTTCTGAAAACCATCGTTATAATTTCTTTATTAAGACCTAAGCCATGGCACCCTGAACACGCCTGATCCCGTCTGATCTTGGAAGCTAAGCAGGGTCAGGCCTGGTTAGTACTTGGATGGGAGACTACCTAGGAAGAGCAGGTGCTGTAGGCGTTAATTTAAAAAAAAATAAAAGACCTGGCCTTGAACACATCTATGTTGTTACTCAAGTATTCAAATCAGGAATGACCTGACATGATGAAGTGTAAGAATATCACCCTACCATTCATCTTCTCGATAGTTATCTTTGAATAAAAAGAGCAATTTTTAACTGGTCGGCTTGTGGGAGTAGTTACTTCAAAAACTGCCCCCATAGCAATCACCTCAATTGAATGAATTTAGCATTTTCACCAGGAGCACCACAGGCCTTTTGGGCAGGACGACTCTTCCCTTGTCCAAAATGCAGGGGGGCCCAACACATTAAATGCCACTGAAGCTTTCCAGGCATCCTGGAAACCCCAACATCCTTCCAAATGCCCCGGGGTTTCAACAACTGAGATAGACGAAATCCTGAGTTTCAAGGAGCCTAGGACGGGACATTTAAATTTTAAGTCCTTGAACAAAACTCCACAGAGGCTATCCTGTGTGTACAGCCCTGAGTAAGGCAACCGGAAATACAGAGATCACAGTTCCTGTCCAAATGAGCTCATCACCTACACAATAGGCTTTCAAACCTTTTCAAGCAGCAAAACCTTCCTTTTCTTCAGGAAAAATTTTCAGGAAAGCTCTGTGTGAAGCCCTGCTTCCCCGACTCCCCTTTATTCTACTACCTGTGCAGGTTGTCACCAGCAATGACAACTAGCAACATTCATATTCAATCTATAAAGCCCTACTAGAACTAGTGTGAAAAGAGTTTTCACTTAAAATCATTTAAAGCAGATGGAATCCTGATAACATGTGCTCTTCCTAAGAAGCTGAGAAAACTGAGTTCATACCTCTTTGATAACTTGCTCTGGTTTCTGGACAGATAACTGCAATCTTTTCTGTAGGAAAAAACATTCTGTCTGTCTTGCAATATCCAGAAATTTCTGGATACACTGATCAACACCTTAAAAAAAAAAAAAAAGACCAAAATATTAAATCAAGAAAAACACTAGACAAAATATCTCCCTCATAAAGGAACAGTCAGAATATCAAAAACAGCACCTTCTCAAAGATGCAATCTAGGATTTTAATCTTGGCCACAGCAATAATACTAACCCCTAAACCCAAGTGTTGACCAACATTAAAAACAGCAAATGATTTGTATTTTTATCATGTGAATAAGAGACTTTACTATAAAATAAAAGTTCTTCTGAAGAAAGACAATGAGTTCTTCTAAAAATGACAATCCAGAGTTCCAGCAATTAGTATGATTTCCAGGTAAAATGTAACTTTTAAAATATAGTACATAGAAATCAGAGGCACTGGTCACCTCTGGGGACAGAACTTGGGCAAGGAGTGGAAAGTACATGAGACTTCTGTTACACCTATTCAATATATTATCAAAACTTATTTTACTTTATATTTTATTTTTTTTTAGGCGAGGCAACCCTTGATTGACCTCACAGATTGCAAGGACCTTGTCAGCTTACAATCTCTTATTTTATTAAATTTTTTACGCCTACAGCACCTGGTCTTCCTAGATGGTCTCCCATCCAAGTAATAACCAGGTCCAACGCAACACTTATTTTAAAAGCAGTACGCACTATTGGTCTTCTTTGTCCTACTACCAGTATGTAAAGCTCACATAAGTGGTTTATCATGACTTAAAATGTCAATTAATAAACTGAACAGAGAACGAGCAATATATAGAGATAATCTGCATAAATCTTATTCCCTGGAAAACTTCTCTTAGGGTACAAGAAGGACTGAAACACACAAAGTGTAAAGACAGCAATGTGGAATCTTGCTAACACTGTCTACAAAAGGGATTCTTACCAGTTCGAATTTCTTCCTGATCCGTGCCATTGACATAGTCCTGACTCACCAGAGAAGCAAAGCAAGCCTGTGTGATTAAAACATACCACAAAAGGAAAACATGTCATGTCAAAAATCTTACTTCAGAGTTAAGAAATAACTTTTCTTGAAGTCAGTCAATGAGTTGCTAGCATCTGGGTTTGCACACCAGATAACAAGACATCATGCTAATGAAGAAACCTGGTAAACTGACTCCATTAGCTCCATGGAGAAAGAGCCCATAAATGAGGCATGTGGTGTTTGCCAGCACCCCCATCCGCCTCTCTCCTACCACCCACTCCCTTTCCCCCTCTCATTCCACCCTACTCCAGTCCTACCCATAGTCCCTCCCTCAGGTGCTCACGTGACTTGCATCACCCATTCAGGACTCAGGTCAATCATCACCTCCTCAGAGAGACCACATCTGGCTGCTCTTTTGAAATAGCACCCCTCTATCCTCAAGCCCAGCTTTTTGCTTTGTTTCATTTTTTGTTTTTTTATTGTTTTTCACACAGTTAATTGACATCATCCCATTCTTCTAATCCATTATTAGCTGTCCCCTCTGAGCAGGTGGGAATTTTGCTTGTCTTGTTCGCTATATGCCTAGTGTGGGACTACTGCTTGGCAGAAAGTGGGTGCTCAATAAACACATGCTAATGACTGACTGGGTGGCCCAAAAGAAAAACAAAGTTGGTGTCACATGGATAAACAAGTCCCAAAGAGGGAGTTCTCTCTATAAAACAACGATCCAGATGCATAAGTGATTCAGCCAAGGAGTTCGTCACACTGGCTACTCTGAGGAAATGGACAAAGAAGGCCTAACAGGGTGGCGGGGCCAGAAAGAGAACAGGAGAGGCTTGGGGGAGCAGGGGTCAGAACAGAAGCCTCAAATCTCAGGAAGGCAGAGCCCAGCCAGCAGTAAGCGAACTATACTTGGTGTAAGGCAAGCAGATCTGGGCCCGAATTTAGGCCATCAACTAGATGTGAGGGCCCTTCTCCTGCCTGCGGTTGCCCCATTTGACTTATAGAGAAAAAATCACAGGACTCTCGCTGAGAAAGCCCTGCAACAGCTCAACAAATCAGAAAAGCAGACTGCCCATTCTGTGTGATACTTTGAAAGGTGACTCCTGTTGGATTTGGGATATGAGTAGGGTGTCCTGCTTTATGAATCTTGTGGCTACTGGAAAATGTCCCATCCAGGAGACCAACTAGTCACAAACTGGCCAGCGAAGCTGGGGCTGCTCCTGCAGAGCCAGGTAGCAGGGCCACCGGACAGTGGGAGAAAACCTGATCTCAGGAATTTTAGTTCCCTCTTCCTCCTTAAACACACACACACACACACAGGCCTTTATCAAGAGTTGGACAGTTGTATAGAGAAGAAAACGTGTGGAAGTCTATAAAAAGAATCTGCTTTTTAGAAATACTCCTAAGACAGAAGCCTTTGCCTGTAAAGTCAGGAGGCCCAAATGCTAATCTTCATTTCCACGAACTCAGGGTTTGGCTCTGGGCAAGTTACTTCCCCTCTCTGAGCCTCAGTTTCTTCATCTGTAAAAGGGAGGGAGGATCTCCAAAGTTCCCTCCCACAACAAGAGTGCATGACCTCAACAAACTCATTCCATCAAAGAGTATTTACTAAGCAAACTAGAACGAGCAAGCCAAAGACCTCACGGGGGAGGCGGCACTGAAAGAGAAGTGAAAAGTGGGCAAGCAGGTGTCACGCGCCACTGGAGTTGTGGGAAAAGAGGTCCACGCAGACCTCACGGAAGGAAACACAAAATGAAAATGTGGTCTCTGAGCTGAGTCTTGACAGGAGACTAGGTGGGTGATCAAGCGCCTCTCCCACTCCCACGTAGCTAAGTCCAAATGCCCCTTTGGGTTTCACTTTCTCTGCAAAGTCTTTGACAAGCCACGGCCACGGATGCTCTTATGGAATTCTGGGTTTCTTCTCTCAGAGCATGGGTCCCACGGCACTGCAGTGGCCTACCATTTATCTGTTTCTTCCACAGCAATGTCATGAGCTCCTTGAAGGCAGGGACTGTTTTTTTCTGTGTTCTTAGCACCCAGGACAGGGCCTGACACACACCAGGCTCCTTCAATGCTTGACAAGTATTCATCAAGTATTTATTATCTGCTACCACTGTACTAGTTGGTCTTTGACTTCGTAGAGCCTGGCTCGTGGTGAATGCTAGTAAGAGTATCACGGACAGGTCACTGAAGAAGTGTTGTATGAGCTGGGATGGGACCTGGAAGCCCAAAGGGAAAACAAATGGCATATGCAGAAAAAGTCTTGAGTGACCAAAATAAGCAGAGATGGGTTCAGAGCTGAGACTTGAACATGCAGAGCTGGGGAGACCATAGTAAAGCTCCTGGTCTTATCCCAAGAGGCACAGACAGCCACTAAAGGTTTAAGCATTAGGCCGCTCGCTGGTGGTCAACTTTGGCCAAAGCTTCTACAGGGCCAACTGTCTTTCAGCAAGCACTCATGAGCCAGAGCCACTTCATCTCAATGCTAGATGCTGTTCTAAAGCTTACCCATGGCCTTTCTTTATGGCTTGGCACCTTTACATTAGTTATCTCCAAACTTCTGACGGTACACTCCATCAGTAAAAGCATTCTGCCCATGCAGCCCCAATTTTGGTCATTTACAAACTAAATCTCTATGCTACTGTACTATCACATAGCTATAGCATAAAACTCACATGAACAGGATTTCAGTATTTAAAATACTGAAAAGGTCACTCCAATTAGAAGTTATTTTATTTCTATATAACAATGGCTCATCTTCCCCTTTAGGGACTACCGGAAGCAACCAAAGCAATTATTTTTACCTCTCC